GTAAAAACCTCCCCGATTGCTCCAAACAGAAGGGACCTTGCTCTTATCTGAATGCACACAGCAAGTGTTGTGGCAGTTAAACTGACATTACCTTTCTGATGTCTCTTTTATTGTTCTTTCAAGTTGTCAGTTAAGCCTTTTCTTGTGATTCATTTTTCCAGATCAGCTTCCCAGCTAGACCGTGCACCCCCTCAAGGCGGCACTTTCCCATCTCTTTCTACCATCTCTGCAGCTTCTCTAGCACCTGCTATAATGGCATGTGCATAATAGATGCTCAATAAACACTTGTTTCATTAGTTTTCCCCATAAATGAGTAAACTCCAAATCTAAATTTCCTAGAAGTTTATCTTTGTTCACTCAACAAGGGACATCAGAATAGACCCCCAGAATGTGTTTGTTCAAAGAATATGCCAATCTCTCCCCAACCTAAAGCTTTTGGAGGTACTTGATGTTCCTGCTAGAACAGGGCTGCCACAAAGCTGTCTTCTGGACTATCATGTATTCAGCATGCAGTCTCTAAAGGCCTGGATTTCGCATTTCTAGTTTCCTGAAATCTCTGACCTATTACCCTGCTGGAGACTGAGCTGTGCTCCACCAGCTCCACTTTCCAGGGACCAGCTCCCTCCTTTTGTTCCCCTGCAATGCTGTGTTCTAGCTGACTTTCCCAGTTCTATTTATTTGTTGATTTATTTAGAAACAGAATCTCAGTATTTAGCCCAGGCTGAATGCCTGGTGTCTATTATTTAAATCCTACATTTCCAAAACCATTTTCACATTCTGCTGCTTTAGACCTTCATCTTTATCTCCTGAGGTTATGACAGAATCTTTACCTTCTGCTCTGGAGATTTTTTTTTTTAATAACTGTAGGCTTGTCCTTAGTGCACCCCTCTAATTTATTTGCTTTTCCTTGGTCCTAGTCCCCTTTGCTTCTCTCATGCCAGCATGGTAAATTATAGGTCCCAGCTGGAGCTACCTAGCAAAAATCTGAATGGATGTAGGCACCTCAGTTTCTCGTATCTATTCTAAGATGTGTGTATATAAATAAAACCATGTACGTGAATGTGCTTTGCAGACTAGAACCCTCTATACAAATCTATGATTATAATTATTCATTTCTTTCTCTGATTAGAAATTTAACACATCTTTGTTTACTCTTGAAAATGCAAATGCAGGGACTAGGGTGTAGTTTAGCATATACAAAGCCGTAGGTTCAACCGTAGTACCAAAACAAATGAACGGATATAAACACATACATTAATTAAACTATAAAGGGAAATGCAGAAAGCACAGAAAACAAAATAGCAGCCAATTTCTTTGTTACTTTCTTAGCCCTGTTGTAATGAATTGCCACAAGCTCACTGGTGTAAAGTGGCACAAATGACTGGTTCAAAGTCAGTAATGTAGTGTCCTTTCTCTCTCTCTCCCTCTCCCCCCCTCTCTCTCCAGCCTTCCTGCCTCCTTAAAATGAACCTGCGAGTATTTGGTCCCTAGACATTCCAAATTCCCATCTCACTGTTGAATTCAGAACAGTCATATCTGCAAAGTCCCTCTGCCATGTAAGGTACCATAAGGGACAATTGTTCTGTCTATCACAGCCTCAGTCCTCTCATACAGAACATTACAGATATTGTTTATGATTTGCTTTTTAACCTTCTATTACTATATTAACACTTAAACATCTTCAAAAACATGAGTTTTAATATCACAGTATTTGTTTCCATTTATATATGATACGTTCTTTAAATTTTTTCTATTATTACAATTTAGGCCATTTTGTGATTAATATATCTATATAAATCTTTGTGATTATTTGTCATAATTTTTCAAAAGTGTATTTTATTAAAATTTGAATTTGACAGCATAGAATGCAAGTATTATGAAAACATCATTAGAATAAATAATTTCTGAACTGAAAATTTACTTGGACATTAAGAAAACTAAGACCAGGGAAAAACAGTAAGTCCAAAGTAATACAACAGAAAATAGTGAAATTTGACTATTTGAATTAAAGTGTAATGGCAGATATCACAGAAATAGCACAAATGGCAGGCTTTGATGTCTGAGTCCATGAGGTATGGTGGGGAGCACACATGTGCTGAGTGAAGAAAATGGCAGAAGTGGTTGGGAGCCTGGATACAAATGACTACATTGAGTAAGTGAGATGTAGTGAGGCTGAAGAGACTCAAGTTCCTTACTGGTGGGTAAAGTGTTTATCCTTATTTTTAAGCATGGAAAAGGTGTAGTTTAGAAAGAATTTTGAGGCATTAGAGTATTATTGAAGATATTTGCAGGAATTCATAGTGTAGTATATGTTCTGATAGATTAATAAGTACTTACCTCTAAATGGGAGAGGACAGAAATGACAATTGGAGAAAAAGTATTTGCAACATGTAGATCGAATAATGAGTTTTTATATATAAAAATCAACATTTTCATGATAACTTAGTTTAAAGGGGACAAAAACTATAACCAGATAATTATTTTTATGACCAGAGGTTTAAGTGGAGATAAGTAGAAGGGCTGACAAACATGAGAAGCTGCTCATTATCAGTAATAAATACTGATTAAAATGAGATAATGTTCATTATCTGTTAAACATGCAAGAATTGAGAGGCTGAGAATATGTCCATCTCTTCACTGGCATCACGGGGAGACCAGTCAGAATATTAAGGTGCTATTTGATGTGATATCACTTGCAAAACTGTTGGAGAATATGCCTGCTTTGTAAGTATATATTTCCTTTGCTAATGTAGGAATACCCTTTGAGTGGCCACTGGGAACTTACTGCAGCACCTGTTACCATGTATTCAAATATTAGTGAAGGAAAACAAAACCCATAATATGATAAAATCAGAGAATCTTGGGTTTATATAAATCCATTTCATTCGTTTCAATGAGCTCTTCTAAACACCTGCTTGCATGTGCTTTGTGCTTACTCACCCAACAAGTATTTCCTAAACACCTGTCTGCTGACCCAGTACAGAGATACTGCGTAGCAAACAATAGGGAGCACAGGAGACATGCAGAGCTGTGTCCACCGAGGAAGACAGATAATCAGATGATCACACAAACAGGTCTAAATTGCCACTGAGACAAGTGATAGGAGAAGTATGGTAGATAATAATATGAGAAGCCAAAACAGTGATTTTGATGTTGCCCAGGAAGTCATGAAGTCTCTAGGTAAGTATGGCCTGTGCTGAAATATTATATGTGTTTAATATATAAATATATATATGGAAGAGGGGTTAACCCAGTCAGAAAAAAAAAAAGGCAAAACGCAGGAGCAGAGGGTGGTTCATGTCTGTAACTTTGGCGCTTAGGATGTCAAGACAGGAGGATCAAGTTTGAAGCCAGACTGGGGCTACATAGTGAGATCCCGACAAGAACATTTCAGGCTGAGGGCAGCATATTTTTGGCAGAGTGTGCTACAATGAACAAAAGAGATTGGGGGAGGTTGTGTGGTGGATTCAAGAAAAACAAAAGATCTGAGATGAGAGAGGGCTGGTCAGATGCACAGGACTGGTGTTAGGTATCGTTTCTCAGAAGTATATATAGGAGGTGAACTCAGGAAGGATCAACATTGTGTTAGGAGGAGACCCCTCTCCTGTGTGCATGTCTTCCTATATCAAACTCAAGTAAAAACTGTCAGTGAGCTGTGACCATAGTTTCATCTTCTCTACCACCCCAGGAACCTCAGACTTTATCCTTCTTCCTAGGACAGATGCTTGTGAAGGTACAGTCTCCTCCACACCCTTCCCTGCCAGTCTAGTCTTTCACCAGGGCTGTGGTTTCTTTCCTCCCTTTTCCCTAGGGAGGTTTCTGAATGCCTTTCAGTCTGTCCTTTATTCTGTCTTATGAATCTGGGAACAAAATAGAAACCCAATAGAGACAAGTGGAAAATGGTTATCCAGCAAACCCCCAACTACCCTAAACATAAACTCTTGCTGTTAAACCTTAATCTGACTGAAATAGCAGATAAAACTGAACGATGAATATAAAACACCCACAGCTTATTCACACTAAGGACACTGGAGGGTGGGAAACCTCAAGCTATTTCAACTTTAGCCACAAGTCTAGACACCCAACATGAAAAGCAGAGGAACCAAACATTACAAACTGAGTCTCATGAAGTAGTAAATTTAAATATTATTATTCTAGGGGAAAAAAGCATAGAAAAAAGCTTTAAAAGATTTATAAAAATCAAATATGCAGAGTCACAGACTATCACACATGTAATCTTGAATAAATAAAAGCATATTATGGAATATATGTATCTATAATCTCTAGGATGCTTAAAAACACAGAGTGGAACTATATATTGTTTCTGGTACCTCCGTGTGCACTAAAAGTATAAAGATGTATAAAACTGTCAACCCTCTAAATTTAAGATGGAAGTCTCCACCTGTTCACAAGGAGGAGGAAGAGCTCCATGTTCAGCAAGGGGTACCCAGGGCTGGAGGTGCTGCTGATGTCATTTTATCTTTCAAGTGAGGAGAGGGCATATGATATTGATTGCATGATTACTTAGATCTTTTTGTTTTTAAAGTATTTCCCAATATATGATTTAAAGAAAACATTGATAATCTGAGTTGTTAGTGAACTATTGGCAAAAAAAAGATCAGATATAAGACTCTTACCTCATTTCTGTTTATTCATTCTTCTATTTAAGAACACACTTTAGATAGGTTCAGTCCTTGGACAGTCTAAAATAGTTTCTCAATAAGATATAAGCATAGCAATAATAGACAAAAATGAGAGACCCAGCTAACAACTGTGTTGGATGAGTTTCAGTCATTCAAACTTCTACTTTGCACAAATGTTTTAACTCTGACCCTGTTTATAGACAGAAAGCCTGGTCTCCCTTAGGTCATCATGGATAGCAAAGATATAGATTTACAGTCAGCTCATCAGAGCATAGTGAGTACTGGGTGCTTCCTGATACTGTCTGCTGCACGGATGTGGAGTGTTTTAGTGTCATATATGCCAACTGTTCAACTTACCTGCTGCTCTAAGGTGTTTGGATCAATAAAAGTCACCAGATCTATAGAAAAGTAACCAATCACATCTTTCTTTCTGCAGGCATTTCCAATTTGGAGACACAAAGAACTGAGAACTCGGGGGTCCATTGAGGTCTGAGGCATGGTGGTACCAGAAGAAATAAAGGGGCCGTCAGCATGAAACTGGTCCCCCGTTGACAGTACCCTGACTTCTCCATCAGGCTCTATCAACATGTCTACGGTGAGGTTGGTGACACTGTCTGCAGGTGGGTATCCTTCAATCACGCCACCTGGTTGGAAAACCATGGAGCAGATAAAAGAACACAGTCAAGAGAAAGACCCGCTTGCAGGAGGAAGAAATAATCTATGTTTTGGCAGGGGGACTCAGGCTCAGACCTTGCACTTGTCATCTTGTGAAACTGAACAAGTAGCTTCAACCTTTGACTTGCTTTTCTTTACTTATAAAATGGGGGACATAATTCTACATCACCAAACTGTCCTAAAGTTTGAGAAATTGTGCCTATGGTATTTAGTCTGGTTCTTGACACATGGGAGGGCTCAGTGAACAGTAGTCTTGATTATGATCATGATTACAAATATCTTATAAATGCTATATTTGGAACCACTCATTACATTAATGAAGGATCCAAGGATTATGGGTCAAACCCCTCAAGGAATTAACTCTCCACCGCCCACTGTTGGTATCCTAATAACCAGTGCACTCTTTCTGTCTAGCATTATTACTTTTCTAAGGTTTGACAGTGTGGGCTTGTAATAGGCATAGAAAACACTGGCCGTCATGCTAGTCATAGGAATCCTGTAGAAAACCAAACATAGAGACTGGTGACATAGTCCAGTTGGTAAAGTGCTTGCCACAAAAGTATGAGGACTTGAATTTAAATCTCAGCACCCTTGTAAAAACTGGTGTGGTAACATATGCCTGTAGCCTCAGTGCTCGAGAGGCAGAGACAGGAAGATCATTGAGGTTTATTGGGTAGCGCATGTAATTGAATCAGCAAGTCCTACGTTTTGTGAGAGACCCTGTCTCAAAAGTAAGGTGGAAAGCAATCAAGGAAGACACTCAACATCAACCTCTGGCCTCACATGCATGCACATTCAACCTCCCGCCACACACACGTATGAAGAAAAAGTGAGCAAGTACCAGGACTTGCTGCTTTTGCTAAGTAATAGTTGGGTGGTGATTTCTGTCCATCTCTACAAACCACACTTGAAGCAGGATCATATATATANATTTTGAGATTTTGAGCTGTTCTCAAAGGCAGTCATTTAAGAAATATTTTCATTCAGTCCCTATAAATTTGATAAGGGGTAGCCTTAATGAATGCTAACTTTCAGAAGGAAAATGATTTTGGGGGGCTGCATATTCAATCTCTACTTTATCTGCTGGCTTGTTCAAGATGTTCTTCAAATGAGGTCTGCTAGAGTATATAACAACTGAATGCCAGTTGCTGGAGATTTAATAAGATGAACATAACCAAACCAAAAACAAGCAAACCAGTGAGTCTCTGTAGTTCAGGTAACTTGGTACTTTGGCTGTCACTGATGATAATGTATCAGTATCTTTTATGATTTACAATATCACTTTGGATACCATGGAGTTTTTAATGAGAAATATCTCTCAAGGCTCATATAGTTAAATACTTGGTCCTCTGTTGGTGGAGTTGTTTTGGGGCTTATGGAGCCTTGGAGAGAGACCGTCATTGGGGTAGGCTTTAAGAGATTATAGCCTTGCCCTACTTTCACTTTGATCTTTCTGCTTCCCTCTTGAGGTTGAAAATGTGATCTCTCAGTGTCCTATTCGATTGCCTGCTTCCATTCCTCCCTCACTATTATTGGCTCTCCCTCTGGTAGAAGCCAAAATAAACTCTTTCAGAAGTCATTTTTGATCATGGTGTTTTATTACACTGGTTACAAAAAGTAACCAATCTTGATATATTATTTCAAACATGCTTAATTGTGTTGTCTTCTTAGCATCAAGACTTCAGTCTTTTTCCTTTCAAAGCAATTAAATTTTTCCCAAGAATGTATTGTCTTTAATATAAATCTATGACAGTGTAGAAACCAAATCTGTAGCACATTTTGTGGCCATAAGCTCACTCAAAAGAATAGAAGTGGGATGAAATAGGCGGATGATGGAAGCTGGTGAGAGTCAGGAACATGGGGTGATGTCCTGCCCAAGTCAGAAAATACACAAGGCCTCCTGCATGCACTAGGGTTAGGGCTCGGGCCCATCCAGAACCTTACGTGTGACAATGGTTCTCAACCTTCCTAATGCTATTCTCCAATACAGTTCCTCATGTTGTGGTGACTCTCAGCCATGCAATTATTTTCTTTGCTACTTTGTAACTGTAGTTTTGTTACTGTTATGAATTGTAATGTAATATCTGATATGCACGATATCTAATATGTGACCTCTGTGAAAGGGTTGTTTGATCCAAAAGAGGTCATGACCCATAGACTGAGAACACTGACTTATAAGAACCATATTTTAAAATGTACTGAAATTATAGGATATAAATATGTTCCCATTCATTACTTATCTGGAGTGTTATTTTTTCCAACATCTCTAAGTCTCAGTTTCTTCCTCTGTGAAACTGGGTTAATAAAGCCTGTTCTGCTTCTTCTCCACAGTGTTTATGACATGACTGAGGAAGAAGGAGGGAGATGGACAGGGAGAGGTGAAGGTGAAGCCTTAGCTTGTGGCCATATAGCTCAGGGGAGGTAGAGCTAAGGGACTCACGTAAAAAGAAATGGTCAAGAGCAGTGGTTCTCAACCTGTGGGCCAAGACCCCCTTGGGAGCTGAACAATCTTTTTACACAGGGGTCGCATATCAGATATTACATTACAATTAATAACTGTAGCAAATTTACATGAAGTAGCAGTGAAAATAATTTTATGGCTGGGAGTCAGCACAAGAGGAACTGTATTAAAGGATTACAGTGTTAGGAAGGGTGAGAACCACTGCTCTAGAGGAAGGATTTTCAGGCTGATCTTTGATTATGTAAGCTTCCTAATACTCTGTCTGAGAGAGACTAGAGGTCTTCATGGTTTTACCTCTTAATTTAAATCCCTTCTAAACTTGTTTATTTGCTTGCTTGTGGAAGACACTGTTTTTTTTTTTTCAATTACAAATGGAGCTGACTTCTTTCTTTTCTCTTTTCTGTCCAGGGATCCATGTGGAAATTTGTTTATTCATATACTTATAGAGATGAGAGAACACTGAAGGTACCTTAACACACACACACACACACACACAGAGAGAGAGAGAGAGAGAGAGAGAGAGAGAGAGAGAGAGAGAGAGAGAGAGAGAATACCCCCTAGCATTCCTGTTAGATGGCTGGCATCCAACCTCTTATTTAAATAACTCATTAATAGGGCATCTGCTACACTCTTCCCAGCCAATGTATTATTCTACAGCCAACAGGCCTGTCCTTTCCGACAAACCCCTTTCATACATAGGGCTGAGTCCTGCTTCCAATGAACAGATTCACTGGCCCTGGCAAAGACTCCTGCAGAAACATAGGGTAGACTTTTATGGCCCTTTTATGTGTTGGCAGATTATCTGGGATGATCTAATCTTTCGTACTTTGGGCTCCCTGTGCTTCAAATAAGGGTGATAGCAGTACCCACTCCTAGGATTGACAGGAGGATGAAGTAAGTTAATGTGTGTCTACTTAGGATGATGTTGGCGTATAACAGCTACTGTGTGCTATTACCATTGTTCAGTTGTCATAACATGGCAGCATTACCAGTTTATCATTATATACTGAGGCCAGTGTACTGTTATCATCATCACATGACAGCAGTAAGTTAAGCAGATTATGTGCAACCTCCTAGAGAGGGGAAGCCTTTGCCTAACTGTGTCCTTGTGTGGCACCCCAGAGGCCTCTGGAATTGCACGTAAACTTAGGTCTGTTCATCCTCTCACTCATCATTGACTTCCCAAAATGAGGATGAGGAAGGAGAGGAATCTAAAAATAATGGAGGCTGGTTTTATTCCTAGTCTGTAGAGGATTCTGGTTTGAAAATGTTACCTTTCGGAGCTAGGGCATTTCTGCTCTCCTAGAAAATGAGAGAGAAAACTAGATCTAGTAAAGGCCTTTGTTCATCAGTCTGTGATAGAAATGTCCCTATTTCTAACCCCGAATTTTCCTAACTACTATATGCAATAAGTAACTGAGGAAACTGGGTCTCTGAGGATTGTCCAAGGTCACATGTGGTTCACTGGAGAGCTGCCCCTCAAGACAAGTCTGGTCTAAGAAATGCCCAGAGTACTGAGTTCTGCATGGCATGCCTGGCATGCTCAGTTCCTATTTACTTAAGAGGCTGGGTGCAAGATAAATATTTAGGCAGTGCTTGAAAAAGAACAAAGTCAGCTGCAGAAGCATTTTCCAAATCCACATCGACTGATGAAGAGTATTTGAATTGGCCCTGGCTTGACCCAGAACCAGAACCTCAGCTTGTAATACTGACCCTCAACAGAAACTTTACAGTCTTATTTACCTTGAGTGAGAAATGTTTGGAGGAATTTCCTCCACGTTGGGAACCGTTTCTCATTGACTGGCTGTACGTGCTGTGCTAAAATGCCCGCCAGCTCCTCGGAGATCTTCACCAGAGCTGGCTCCTGCAGAAACAAATTAAATAGAACCACAAGCAATTTTACTACAGAAATGAAAACTGCTTGTGGAGTGATTAAAAACCAGGCCTCCAACAGGCAAAAAAAATGTGGTTACTGTTTACCCAGAGCCAGAAAGCCATTTTGAGATTGTTCTATTTTTCCAGCCATTTCACTTTTCATATTTCAGTGTGAGTTCCCCTCCCTGAAATCGATGCTAATTGTGCATTATGTGTCCTAAAGGCACCCCGTACTGGTCGTGAGGAGTCCAGGCTTCAGACTCACTTCAGCCCCACCTGCAGAGTGGCCTCTGCGTCTCCACTCTGAGCCTCAGTTTCACATTCTGGAAAATGTAAAGCTGAATAGCTTGTCCCTTAACTCTTTTAGATGAGAATACTTTTTATTCTATGAATCTAACAGCATTTGAGCTTAGGAGGAACAACGGAGTTGGTGAGGTCTTTTTTTGATAATTCTGCCTCTTTAACGTGTGCCCACTCTGTTGTAAAAGCTGCCTTTTACAGTGTTGATAGGAAAGCCTAAACTTTTGGCTACAACTGTAAAGGTGGGATTTTAAGATGTTTCAGCTAGAGAACATGTTCTACGGTCAGCCTTAGTCAACCTGAAATCCCTGCAGATCACAGTGTCACCTGTCTAGTTACATAGCTATCATCGGTGAGATGATCCAAAGACAACAGAGCCTCCCATCAGGAGTGAGAACAGAAGGAAGCTCTTTAATCAATAGGAAGTCCATCTTTTTATGTAAAAGGTGTAGCTTGCTACAATAATTTCTTTTCTATCTAAGTTATAATGCTTTTAAGACTCATTAAAACTTTTCAAATGGAAGCCACAGTTTAGACACTCTGTCAGGTGCAGGGCAGGGCACTACATATAAACACTTTGGTGCTCAGTATTCATCATGTTCTAATGCAGAGCAGGGACAAGCAAAGCTTTAGCTTGCTCCAGGGTCCCAGGAAAACTCTGAATCTGAGCGAGAACTCTAAGTGATTTGCAAGCATCCGCTCTAGGGACAGGGCTGGCTGTAATGCTGGAAATCATCTGTATACTCATTTTTCCAATTTCCCTAACATTAAAAAGTGATTCTCCTCTATCCTCTGCCATCTCCCGATTCCTTAAAACATTTGCTTTATTGTTTTAATTCTCACTGAAAATCCAGACTAAAAGACAAATATCTTAGAGTTTATGATAGGCAGGTCCAAATAATCTGAATTGTTTCTAACTACCTGGAAACTCCTGGCTGTATCATTAGTTAATCTTAGTAAGTGATTGACATACAAAACAAAAACACACTCAGAAGCAGAGTGTTCTGGCCAACACAAGGTACAGAGTCCTGCTAGGAAGGGCTAGGGAAGTCTGCTCATGCAGTAAACCTCTGCCTTGACATGTGGAAGCAAGGAAGATGACAGTCGAAGCAACGGGCCTTCGCACTCCATACCTGTACATTGTACATTTACTCTCATTTTTACTGCAAATTCACTGATAGTGTCAAAGCTTCATGTGCAAATTATGAGCAAGCATCTCCAGCATAAGGAACCCCTCTGCTCTCTGAACACCCCACATTCTCTAGCCTCACACTTGTTTCAGTTCACATTCTGCCCCATGGAAGAAAACTGTCTCTTCAAAGGGGGCAGTGAAGGCTGGCTTTAGAGTCTGCCTCTTTCTGGAAAACTATCCCAGAGAAAAGAAACCTCGCAGCCCAAGCCTCTCTTGGACAGGTGGAAAATTCTCTTTTTATCCTGCCTTGATTAGAGAGACTCTTCTGTCTCTCCCACTTTTGAAGGCAAGTGGAGCCATCTACTCAGTTACATATGTGCTAGAGGGCTATTTTTACAAGGGGGAAATATGGAGAGGAAACAGTGAAGGAGCAGATGAAAGCCCTGCAGCTTGATTTAGACCAGGTGCCAGATCTTCAGCAGAACGCTAGAAAAGACTAAGTTACAGAATAGAAGAGGTGAATCTCTCAATAGACTTCCTCCTTACTTCCAAGGAACCACCTGAAGGACCGGCTACTTTAGAACCACGAATTCTTCCTGGGTGGATGTCACAGGATTCCCTGCCTCATTTATCAGAAAGATAAATGAGGTGACATATATGGAGTGTCACCTCAGCTGCAACATGTGTGAGAGTCAATAATTAACTTACAAGGCTTCTGGACACAGTGTCAGGCGCCACTACTACTTCTGCTTACAAAGTGAGTCATTCTACCACAATGCCTATCATTTTCACTGTGCACAAAACCACAACAAGGAGGTAGATTTCTAAAAGAACAATCTGCCTCGGGAGTCTGGAAGATGCTTCGTGTCCCATCAGCTGAAGGCACTGACAGGGTGGCATTCAGTGGAGATGCTGGGGCACTCAGAAGCAGCTTGGGGGTCATGATTAGCTCTCTAAAGACATAGTGAAGAAAAATGGGGTCGGAAGGGGTAATATTAACTATCTAATTTATTTCTAGTGGGATGTATAAGTCTTAAACTAATACCTTAGTACCTATGGCCTTCGTGTCAATGAAGAGAGACTTGCTCCCTCACCTCTACAGTGATGACAATGTGGGCCTTGCAGCTCACATATTCAAGTAAGGGAGGGTGTGCATGACAGGTCTATGTATGTCTGTTTATCATATGCCTGCCTGTCTTCCTATCATAATCCGGGAACAGAAGTACATCTTTACAAACTTAGGATGTGGAATTAAGTTCTGTCTAGTGAATAATGACAAGGTAATTAATGGGTAAAGAAGCAAAACTTGCTCCCAGTGTGCCATAGCAGAGTGGGATCTGTGCCTGTAACAGCCATCAGTGGCAGGAGGTGCTATGGTAAATATGGGGAAATGGTAGGATAGATAGCTTCTGTTGGCTACCCAGCATTTATGTCCCCTCCTTCCGGTTAAGTTCCTTTCAGGAACTGTTCTTCCCTGTTCTTTGCTACGGAAGAGTGGTTGAGGGGGATTTCCACTCTCACCTCCAAAGAAATGTAGCCTTGTCCTTGCACAATGGCTGGTTCAGTAGAGATGCAACCCAGTGAGGCCAGGCACTTGCTAGAAAATGCTTACTGGGGCCTCTGGAAAGAGTGTGTGATCTGAGTTGCTACCAGGTGAGGTGCTCTCTCTTTCTATTGCTTGTACCAAGAAAAAATTGTGGAAGCTAGCCTTAGAAAGAAACCAGCCTTATGCATAGTTCAAAGGAGAGACAGAAAACTGTGGAGCCAGTTGGAATTCCAGATAGCCAAGGCCAGTTTCTCTCTATTTGGAAATCTATTTGAGTTGAGGTTCTGTTAGTTGAAGCTTAAACATTTTAAATGGATGCAAAAAAAAATTGGTGGACCAAAGTATGTCCCCACAATCCACAATGGTAGTTTTAAGCCAGTGGATGCTCTGCTAACCACCTGGTGCTGACTTTCATTCTGCAGTCAGTAGTGAGGTTTTCACTCATTCCTTTCCACTGCAACCATTAGGAACAGTCCCTCTTTAGGGTGCAAAAATATGTTGAAAGGATGAAGAAAAAAAATGAAAATGTCTCCAGCAAGTCAGAAACAACTCTCTGTACTTACTTAAAGTTTAAGGACAGCTTTAATACTCCATGTTTAATTGTTAATGGAGAATTTAAAAATCAAAAATGCCAAGTTTGCCTTCGATGAGATGGAAAATTATGCTGCAGTAGAAGGTAACATAATGTAAAACAACCAGCATTACCAAAGCACACAAATGTTTTTGGTATGTAAAATTGCTTTGTAAAATATTTGCTCCATCTGCTAAAAGCAGCAAAGACAATTTTCCCTTGATAGCTAATGGCCCATTTCGGGTGTGTGGCAAGTGATTCGCTGCAGTGGCGGCTCTCATTAAGCAGAGTGTTGAGAACACGGTATATAATTCCATACTTATGTAGCATTATCCACTCACTGCTTCTTGAGGAGCCTGTCCCTCATTATCTAGGCCTCCACCTTGCACCAACATGCAGGCCTAGCAGTCGATTTGACTGGAGAATCATTTCGTCCAACTGAGGCACATATGTCGCTTCCATTCTGAAGCTCAGCACAACTGTTTCACTGCGACCACGAACGCTGGAGAAGTTCATTCCCTCTCCACTTTCCAGCAGGCAGACTGCTGCTTCCCTTTCCTCTCACCACAGGGAGCCAAGCTTTGTTTGTTTGTTTGTTTGTTTGTTTCTAGGTTCGTCCTGTCGCGCTGCATGCTGGGGGTTTCAATAGGTAAAGATTAAGTGTTTCTAGAAATTCTTAATTGAACTTTGCACATACACAAAAGGAGGAAAAAAAATTCTCCCTCCCCTGACAAAACTGCCATTATGAAAGCCTGATATACGCTGCCCTTTTTCCTGGTGTATCTGTGATTTCTCTCTTTAAAAGAGTTGTTTATATTACACCCCAGATTACTTCAACATCTGCTAAAGGGATGATTAGAAATAAATACAGTAATCCAGCGTGGTTTTAAAAGAGAAGAATATGTTCATGTTTGGGGAATGATACTGAAGAGTACTTACCGGAGCAAATGACTGTGATAGACAAATATTCTTACCATTGCAAAATAGTTCTCAAGGAAATTATACTGAACTGTAAGAATGACAATCAGTAAATACATATGACTGGTTAAAATATTATACAATATTTTAAAATGAAAACCATGTCATGTTTAAATCAACCATAAGTGGAATTAGTCATAACGGTTACTTCTGGAAATAGGTTTCTTCCTATCAATGTAGAGAAATTAAGCTGGTTGGGAAAACTGTGGACACTGATGGAAACTCTTTAATTGTAGATTGAAGACAAAAGGAAATACACGTGTCCTTTGGATTTGATTCTCGTTACTTTCTTTTTGTTTTGCTTTGTTTTTCTGTGTAGCCCTGTCTGTCCTGGTATTCTCTTTGTAGACCAGACTTTGATTCTCATTCAAGTATGGGAAAAGATTGAGTTCCAGAAATGAAACTGAGAGATTATCAAGAGACTTTGTATTTATCCTATACAAAAGGAACGGGCTAGCAACA